TTCTGAACCTTTGCTTCCCCATCTGTAAAATGGGATTGAAAATAATACTTGCCCTTCCTATGTCCCAGACCTTTTCGAGGAGCAAAAGAGACAACAGGAAAGCATTTTAAGTATGCGACGATATAAATTGCTATCTGTTTGGTAAATTTGCATTTTGTGTGTTAGTTTCTTTTAAATCAGGGCTACAGCGTACCTTTGCTCCTTCCTCGAATTCTTTGGGGGTGAATTAGCTCTTGCTGGAGCATCTGGTACACTGGTGACACACAGAGTCCCCAGAGGGTGTGAATTGGGTCCGAAGGGGGAGAGACAGAGGGAGATTCTTATCTGGGGAGGGCAGGGAACACTCTTTGTGCTTAGGGCAGAGGCCATGTGGGATGAAACAGAGTTTGATTTGTGTAATCCAACCTTGTCAGACACCACAGCCAGCTCTTTAAAAAAAAAAAAAAAAAGCCTTTTACTAGTTGGGCCTCTCTAGGCAAGAGGCTGATCCTATCACATCAAGTACAACTTTAGACCTGGCCAGACATCAGTTGTTCCTGGCTTCAGACAAGTGGGTTATCTTGCAAGGCTGACTTTTCTATAGTCAGTCCAGCGTGCTTGTTGAATACCTACTATGTGCCCTACGTGTTCCCTGTTATCCAGGACGAATGATCCGGGTATTCAGTTACAGTGCCTTGTGCACAGGGGGAGTGACTCAGACACTTGTCAACTGACTGCCTTCATCCCCTGACCACAGAAGGAAAGTGGGACTGAAGGAAGAACCCTAGATCTCTCATGCCTGGTCGTGCTCTCCTAACTGAAGAGAATATTTTTTATCCCCCACGTTAGGGCCCCTTCCCTTGGGGCGTTCACCTCTCTGCTTTCCTTCCACGTCTTGGTCCTACCGTCTCGGCTCTGAATTTGAGAGCTCTGGTGTAAGCTTAAATTCCCATCAGCTTCCTATCTCCTGAACCCCAGTCTCCTACCCCTGAGGTTACCCTGGCTATGCATTCTGGGAGCCCCCATTCTTTGCAGGTTCCCAAACTTTGAGGGGTCCCAAGCCAGCCTGGAGAGCTGAGCCTTGCGCCAGGGGTTTGTACCCACTGATCTCAGTCTATGCACTGGGTACTGTGCCAGGTGCCTGAGAGTCAGAGGCCAAGCGTACCTGTTCCTGGCTCCCCCTTCCTTCTCCCCTTCTCCCCCACACCCTCTCCTGGAAGGATCCATGTGCTCTGGTGTTTCGGTGTCTTTGTGTACCTCGTCCTGTTCGGTGAATGTTGATTTCCTTTCTTCTTAACTGTTTCTCTCCCTGGCCTCCCTTCAAGACCTTTTTCTTTCCTTTCCAGTCAGGCACTTCTGTTTAATTTTTTAAAAAATATTTATTGTTGATCCTCAAAAATCAAGGCATTCTTTGATTCTCTTGCTATGTGGCAATTTGGTTTCCTTTCAAAAAAGGGCCTTCTGGGGGCTGCCCTGTGGCAGGAGAAGGCTGACTGGGGTATGTGTGGCATTGCTTGTGCTCACAGAAAGGGTCGCTGGGGCAGAGGTGGTTTCCCAGGCCCTGTTCTTGCTGGTCGCACGGCTGCCAAGGCAGCCAGCTTGACCCTGTACTAGGCAGCCTGTTCTCCAGGCCCACCCAGACCCTCCGCCAGGATGACCGGATTCAGTTGTTGGAGCTCTGAGTTATAGTCCTCAAGGTAACTGTGGATGACAAACTCCGAATCACCAAACCTTAGGGTTGGAAAGCACCTCAGTGGTTTCCAAATGCCTGTCTGTGGCCTGGCTGCCTCAGAAGCACCTGGGCAGGATTTAGCTCCGGGTTGGCCAAGTCATTACTTTGGTGGGAGGGAGGGAAAGAGACTAAAGAAAATACCAAATCCTGAAATGTTTTCTTCTAGGCTATAGGATCATGAGTGATTTTATTTTCTCCTCTCTAATTTCTTGTATTTTCCAATTTTTCTACATTACTTTTATGACTAAAATAGACAATACATGCTACTTCTGATTTTTAAAAACTGTCACTCAGGGAGCACGTTCAATACACAAACTCCTGGGCCCCTTCCCTGAAGATTCTGCCCCAGTTGGTCCGGGTGGGACCTGGGGACTCTGTATTTACCATAGCACCTCAGTAGGTTCTGTGATGCAGTCGGGTGTGGGAACCACTGGTCTAACACCACACCTGCACTTCACCTATAAGGAGAGTCAGGCTGGTGGGAGACCCCAGCCTACCAGGTCCTCTGATTCCTGGCCCGGGGAGCCACCCACTGCCCAGAGTGCCTTCCTGGATGATTCAGGAGCCCAGAGGCCTATCCCAGGCAGAGGCACAGAACCTAGGTCCTTCCTGAGGCTGGACCTGTGTGCACCTAGGCCTGCCTGTGTCTCCCAGCAAGACCTCAGCCTTCCAGTCTGACAGCAGTGTCTGGCCCACAACTGCGTCTAGGTTCCCCAGCACCCACAATGATTGGAGTAAGGATGCTTCCTTGCCTCATCCCCAGAGACCTCAGGGCCCAGGAAGTTACCCAGGCAGCAGGTGGCCTCCATGAGGGGAATGTGGGGAGAAACTGAAGCATACAGGGATGGGATTGGTCCAGGCCCCAAATGATCGAGTTGTGATCTCCCTTCCTTGGCCCTTGAGCTGTTTTGAGACGATTTAGAGAAGGGGAGGTTGGAGGGTCTGCTTGGGTGTAAAGAAAGGTGTATGGTGGCGCTTGGAGCATAGTAGTAATGGGTAAGGACATTGCCCTAGGGCCAGGTGGTCTGGATTTAGCCCAGTCCCTGCCACTTACTAGCTATGTGGCCAAGTTACCTAACTCTTTGAATGATCCCATCTGTAAAATGGACATGATAATACATACCTGCGTCATAGGGTTGTTGAGAGGACCAAAGGGGTTTAAGGTGTATAGACCAGTCCTTCTCATACTCTAATGTGTCTTAAAGTCACCTGGGCATCTTGTTTAAAATGTGCATTCTGATTCAGTAGGTCTACATTTCTAATAAGCTCCCAGCTGATGCTGAAGCTGCTGGTCCGTGGACCACATTTTGAGAAGCAAGGATGTAAAACACAGAACCTGACATGCTCAATTTACAGTTACTGTTAGGATCATGGTTATTATTGTTACTTGGCCTTTTCAAACAGGCACCCGAGGAGCCTCGGAATTCCAGCAGACCGGCCTCCCCAGAGACCAGTCTTTTCCTGGATTTTCCTCGTATTCCACCCTATGACCTTTGCACCTGTCCTGGGTAGCAGCTGGGGAGGGGAAGCAGAAGGAGGGGGTGCTGTGCCCAGCTGCTGCAGGCAGGCCTGAGTCTTCAGGTTTGCAGCTGAGTCCATTTTCATGCTGCTTTACCCTAACCAGATTTTGTTAAGCCGGGTGTGTGTCCTCTTTTTACTTGTCTTTGTTTACAAAACATGAGGAAGCCATCCGTCTCCCCAGTCGCAGTCTGCCAGGCCTCCGCTGTGGCATACCCCGATTTCCCTTCCCCTCCAAGCAGGAGCCGTGCCTCCCACTTTCTGGGTTGTTTTCCAGTCTCCCCTTCTGCAGGGGAAAGAGGAATGCTATTGCTACAGGTATGGGATGGGGGGAATACCTGACAGGGCCCTGAGGTCACCCTCAGTTGACATCTCTCCTCTCTTTGTGGCCTCAGGCAGGGTGACAGGGAACCTGGCGGCGAGGTTCCTGCACAGTTGCCTGGGGACAGGTCAGGGAGGCCAGGGCGAGATGTCCCTGCAAAGCTCTGGGAATCCAGGAGCCCTGGGCTCAATTTCCAGCTCTGCCACTGACTTGCTCTAGCCTCTTCTTCTCTGACTAGGAGCTGCCTGGTGGGGGCCTGGGCTGTAGTTAAAGGCAGCAGGGGCTCCAGATCCCCTACACACACGCGCGCGCACACACACACACACACACACACACACACACACACTTCACATAAGCGTGCTTGCTGCCTGGGCCACTGCGGCAATCCAAGTCCAGCCTCTGTGCTGGTTCCTTTTTTGCACACTAGGTTCTTATTCCCCTGTCCACTGAGAACCCTGTGGAGAGGGCCCCAGCCTAGTCCTCCTGCCCTGGCAGATAAAGAGAGAACAAAGACCGCCTCTTCCAGCACCCCTCAGTGCCCTTCGGACCTCTGCTGGCCCCTGGGAAATGGTACCTGTGTGGGCGGGGCACCAGCCACAATCCTGTGAGCCACTGACCGCTGACCTTTGCCCCCAGCTTCTCTGCCTGACAGTAGGACCTGGGATAACCTCCAGAGAGTAGTGTGCATTCTTTGTTTTTGTTTTGTTTTCAAGTATGTTCTTGCTTAACGTTTAATTGGCTCCAGTCAGTAGGAAAGCGCTCCAAGAGGGATTATTTATGGCTTACTGTCAAGAGCAGCTATAAAAAGGGCAGCACGGAGCTGGAGATGCTGGGAAGGGAGAGAGGGCGGGCGCACAAGTGTGTGTGTGTGTCTGTGTGTGTGTCTGTGTGTGTGCGTGTTTGCACTGGATGAAATCAGATTTTTGCTGCCTCAGCAGTGTGGTTTAAATGGAAGATTAACCCTTTGACCTTCACAGTGTCAAATCACTTGCAGATGGAGGCTCGCCCGCTTTTCCCCCTTGTTTTCTGTGTTACTTTGGAGCTGGGGGAGAGAGGGGGGCACTTCTTCTCTTTCTTTCTGAAGAAAGTTTGTTGTTCATGCAGCTGAGGTTTGCGGGGCTCAGGAGCCAATCTGATTAAAAGCAGCACTTGGCTAAACTTTGGAAAATCCTGCAAGCAGGGGAAAAAGTTTAATCCTCTTGTGCACCGTGCATAAAGAGCCTGGTCTTTTCTTTTTAATGTTCACACTGCAATTGTATTTGGAGAACTCAACTATCTCCCCCTCATCGCCACTTCTCTCGTCCCTCCCCCAACTCCCCCAGTTTGCTGTCCTGATGGCATTAAAGTGCCGCCCCAAGACGTGTGGATCTGAACTTTGACTGGAAATGATAAGGAGTCATCTAAGGCTGCGTTTAGGAGTTACGCTGTTTTGTTTTGTTTTCGTTTCAGCACCAGCAGAACCGAAATCGCGTGTGGTGGCAGATCCTCCTCTTTCTGCACAACCTCGCTTTGAATGGAGACGAGAACAGGAATGGGGCGGGTCCCAGGTGAGGCTGGGCTGCCCTCTTCACATGGGGCACCACGGAAGGACATCGGCGAGGACTGACACTGTGTCTTGTGAAGTTGTTGTTGTTTTGTGTTTTTATTTTAAAAATTTCTCTCTGTGTACATAAGACATACCCAAACGGGACCTCTTTCCCAGTTCAGGGCCTCGACCAGGAATGGGGCCCTTTGTCAAACACTGTTGAAGTAGAGGCTGGTGTGTCTGTGATGTGGGACCTCCCAAGGGCTCGGACAAGTAGATCCTTCGGTCGTCAGTGGTTGAAGACAACCAGGTAGTGATGTGCTCCGGCGAGTGGACTGTAGTTTTCCCACAGGAACTTATTTAAGAAATAGGAGACTGGATTAGACTCCTGGTTCCACCAAACCCATCAGCCTTCCACTGTGGATGGGGCCCAGATCCGACGGGTCACACTGCTTTAACCCACCAGGGCCTCAGACGGGGCCTTTCCAGCTGCGTGTGGCAACTTCACTTGGTCGGTCAGCCAGCTCCGCGTCTGGGTTCTCCTTGGGCCCAGCCACTGCCCACCCCAAGGGCTCAGGGATTCTCGCCCAGCCCCTGTCATCTCCAGCAGACCTCAGGGAGGGTTGGGTTTCTCCATGGACCCCTCAAATGTGCCGCGAAAATGAACCAAACTTCTGGGTAGGCCTCATGTCTGACTTGGTCCTACTCGGAAGCCCCAGGATTGGTCCTGAGGTGCAGAACCACTGCCCCCTCTGGCTGCCTGGGACTGTCTGGGTGTCAACCATGGATGAGCCAAGTAGCCAGTCAGTGTGCTGTAGCCAGCAGCTTGTGCCTTAGTCAGCTCTTGTTTTGAAAGACCCGGCCAACAGACGGCGTCCCACCCCCCATAGCAGCGCTCTAGCACCGGAAGGGACAGGATTGCATTGCGGTGGCTCTGGGAAACGAGGCGGCCATCCCACCTCTAAGAGTCAGCCTTGAGGAACCCAGACCCCTTGGTTTCCTTGGAAACCACATACCTCCTCCCTTTTATCCCCATTCCTTTCTCACACCTAGTGGGATACAGGAAGAAGCCAGCACAGCGGCTTTGTCAGCTGAAATGTGTCTTTTAGAGTAACAGACAGTGATTAGAGTGCAGAACTGTCAAAGCTGGGTACACACTTCCTGTCTTCCTTCAGCTTCCAGCCAGGCCAGAAAGGCCTGCTCTGGAACTCAGCAGGATCACAGATGCCTCTGAACTTCTTCCCTTCTCTCCCTGCTGTGGCACTAATGGAGAGAATTTAAAGCAGCCAGTCTGGCAGCTCTGAGAGCAGACACAGGGAATCTGAAAAGACACAGGGAATCTGTTAACCTAGAAATTAAACTATCATTTTTGCATATGTGAGAAAAGTTAACATTGGTGCTAACGGTGAAGCAAGGCCCAAGGAAAAGATGGCTTCCCTGGGCAGAGAAGACCCTGGGGCTACCCAAGGAAATTGGAGGAGTCCTGAGTAGACTCTCAAATCTGAACGAGCCCAAGCTCCTCTAATTCTGCAGCGAGGAGATCTTTGTTACCGTCGAAGGACACATTGATCTTCCTGACGTACGGTCAGGCAGGTTGTTCACTGCACAAGGCCACCTGCAGAGGAAGGTAATGGAAGCTAGAATCCAGCCCGTGCTCTGCTCACTAAGCTGTATGCCCTAGTGTAGGGCTGTGTCTGCTTACAGGAAGGGGTGCCTTTCCTAATTTGCACAAAGGTGCCCTATGGGCTCACAGTGGCTCGGAGAGGGACTTCAAACTGCATAAGCCTTGGTTTTGTTCTGCTTGCATGTTCTGGAGGTATTACCTATTCTTGGACAGAATTGTATTCTCAGGGCGTGTACCATGGTTTGTCTGCTAAGAAGATAGTTTCCTGCTTACAAGAAGGAACCCAGGGAACAGGCATGAAGACTGGCGCTGGGACACGCTGACCATTGTGAAATCCAGCCTTCCCTGTGTGTCTCCACACCATTTTTTGACGCGCATAGGACATGTGTTGTTTTTCCCTCTCCTGGACCAAGGCTGTGATGGGCAGGCTGCTGGTGTATCTCTGAGTGGCACACACAAGAAAACCAGGATTATTTCTACCAGCCACTTTCATCTACTCTCCGCAGACTTTCCACGTGAGCTGAGTGAGAGAGCAGATAAATGGTCCAGGCCTTGGTGCCGAGGCAAAGCCATCAGCTTCAGAGACCTTGCCGGGCCTGGGGGGGATGTCCTGTGGCCTGTCCTGAGAACTGAGCCCAGAGTTTGAGAAGCTCAGCTGAACGTCGCGCCTGGGGCCGGGTGGAGGGTCATCTGACTGCACTGTCTCCATCTTCTGTGAAGCCAGGAACTAACTCACTATCCTAAGCAAGCCAGGGCAAGATGTACAACGCCTCTCCTTCCCCTCCCCCCAGAACCCAGGAGGTAGAATTAGCCCCAAGAGGAAGAGAGGTTCCTCCTGGCTGGCTGTTTTTAATTGGCCTAGTGGTCTAGACTGGCCCCTTCCCCCTCTGCCTGGTGAGTTGGTCTGAACATTCCTCAAGTCCAACCTCAGGACACATGTCCCTCCCCCTGGGCTCCCTCTCCCCGTCCCCCAGGAGCTTGGCTGTCTCTAGTTAGGGAGTGGAGAATCAGATTCAGAGGGAGGGACAGTCTGACCTGGCTCCTGACCTGTAACCAACAGAAGACTTGTGGAGCTTTTGTGGTTTGCTGAGGGTGGGGGTGGGAGAGGGACTGGAAACCTCCCTCCCCGGTAGGGATGCCCTGGAGGAGGGGAAGCCTGATATTCAGGGTCAAAACAGCCCTTCTGGTTCAGAAGCCCAGAGTAGGGGATTCTGGAAGCCGGTAGACAGAACTGGGGAGGGAACCCCCTCAGGCCCCCCGTCTGACTCCCCCAGAGAGTTGGAGGACTCAGCCGGGCCTCTCTGCCCACTTCAAAGTCTGGGCTGCTGGAGAGCTGCCCCCGTGGCCTTTTCTTCCTCAGTCCGAGGCAGGAAAAGACCACCTCCCAGTGCCCTCCACGAGCCCCTAGGGGAGGGGGTCTGTGTCGGGAGCTATGTGGCAGGCACGTTCCGAGCGCTCAGAGGGGCCCAGCTGACTTGTCTCTCTGTCCCCAGTGGCCCAGCCCCATCCAAGGATGGGTCCGGCCTGGGCATGGCAGGGAGGGGGTGATTTGGGATGATCAAGCCAGGGCCTCCACTAGGGGCTGGGGAGCCACTGTGACTGTCCTGGTCAGCAAGGAGCACGTGGAGAGCTTGCTGGCTTGTCTCATTTGAGGGACCTGATGCAGTGGGGTTAGGGCAGGTGAGAGCCCGCAGAAGCAGACCCCTCAGCTCTGCAGGCTTCTGCACATCAGTGCTGCAGCCCAGGCCGGAGGAACCTGCGGGGTCCCTCTGTGTGTAGGTGGGGACTCCTTGGTGACAGACCACCCCGGCCAGACTCCTTAACCCATCAGGCTGTGAGGCCTCCTGGGGACAGTGTGGGCCAGTGGGCTCCTCAAGGCTGGTGGGGACTTCGAGCCTTGAGGGAACCGCAGAGAAAGCCGCGCTCTTTCATAGATGCGCCAGCCTCTTGGGCGGAAGGTGCTCGGAGCCCTGCAGGCTTCCGGTTCGCGCTGCCCCTCTCCGTGCACAGGAGGCCGGTGCCTCTCCCTGCTCTGTGAGCGTTGCCCGGTGGGCTGCCCCATCCCTGGGTCCACAGGGCCTGTCGGGGGAGACCCAGTGAGAATGTAGCATTTTGTCCCTCCCAGGTTAGCTGTCCTGGGTTCTAGGCACTCTGCCTCTGGGAGAGAAACAAGGGGAGAGAGAGAGGGGTTGGGGACTCATTGTTTTTAAACCTGTACAGAATGTTTGGCTTTGTGTTTGTCACATGCATATATGTGTGTGTATCTTTTCCCCCATCAATTGGTACAGTTTTTAATAAAACCATTTAAAGCAAAGCTTGTCTTTTTCAAGGTGTAGTAAAAATACAAGGGGATCTGTTGGTGGATTAGGGACTCCCAACTTGCTTCTCAGCTGCCCTCCTGAGTTACCGTCCGGGACCCCCGGCTTTTGTCAGGACTTCCTTTCCCCTCTTGGGGTTGTGAAGAGCCATTCTGACCACACGGTAAGCGGCACAGCAGAGGCCCCATGAAGTGGAAAAACATGGGCTTTGGAACCAGACCTGGATTTGGATCCGGTTCCAGCCTCCACCAGCTGAATGATCATAGGCAAGTTGTTTAACCTCTCTGAGCCTTCAGTTCTTCCATGTGTAAATTACAGCTGTGCCTGCCTTGCAGGATTAAAGCGAGTGTGTACAAAGGACCTGCCCAGGGCCAGCCCTGAGCAACTGGCAGCCCCTCTGCACAGCCCCCCACCCCTGTCAAGCTGGGCTTCGCTTTCCTTTTGTCGAGGTAGCATCTCATGAGGTAGGCAAGTTGTAGGGGGACTTCCTGGCTTGTCTTTCTTTGCGGACTAGCAATGTTGTCTGATTCAAAGGGGTCATTTAAAGTGCTTGACAGAGTTCTAAAAATCCTTGGGGAAAACCACTCCTGGTCCTATCGGCGGTAAGCTGTGAACTGGAGGGCCAGCTCGCTGTGCCAATGCTGGGCCCCCATACTTAGGAAGCTGTCGGCTCTCTGAGGACCAGCCTTCCACTCTGGTTCCTAGCCTTGTAGAGAGTGGGAGCTTGAAGTGATGTCAATTGTCTTGTCTGACCTCTTCATTTTATGGATGAGAAAACTGAGGCCCAGGAAAGGGATGCAGTTTTCTCTTTGGGCTTTTTAAATAGCTGAGTCAGTCAGAGGGGGGCTTACCCCATCCATCTTGGTTTCCATTTGGAAATTGCAGTGCTCTTGCCGAGATCTGCGGGGAAGCCAAAACTTGTCTGTTTTTAATGCCAAATAACTGCCTCTTCTCCTGTAAAACATGGCACTTCTAAGCACTCTATATTTGGACAGAGAGGTTTATTTTTACTGGAGTGTGGTAGAAGTGGGGCCTGGTGCCACGTCTGGATGTTATTCTACATTTCACATGCAGGGCTGTAGCTGAGCCTGTGAAGCAGCTCCTCTGAGGTTCGCAGGGAATTAGGTGATTGTGATAGTAACGACTTTCTTTCAAGTCATCTGTGCCTACTTTGGGTGAGGCTGCACTCAGTTGCCCAGCTAGAAACCTGAGACCTCACCCCCTCCCTCCTCTCTCTCTCTCTCTCTCTCTCTCATATCCCTCCAGAGGAGGTCCAGTGAGGAGTTAAAGGCACAGCTGCCCAAGGTTGAACCCAGGCACTGCTGTTTGCCAGCTGAGCGGCACAGGGCGGGTCACACAGTCTCTCTGTGCCTCGGTTTCCTCATGTGTAAAATGAGATGGTGCTAGTACTCACCTCATAAGGTTGTTTTAAGCATTAAATGTGTGAATATGTGTAAGGGGCTTAGCATAGTGTTTGTTACATGTTAGTATTTAACTAAATGTTAGCTCTTAATGTTATTAATAATATTACTTTTATTATTATTATTTGGAGGCAGCTGATCAATAAGCTCTGGCCATTCTTTCTCTCTCTTTTTTTTTTTTTTGGCTGTGCCACGTGGCTTGCAGGATCTTAGTTCCCTGACCAGGGATCGAACCCGTGCCCCTTGCAATGGAAGCGCAGGGTCCTAACCACTGGACTGCCAGGGAAGTCCCAGCTCTGACCATTCTTATCCAGAAATATGCCTTGCACCTATCTTCTGTCTATCTCTGCCACATTGTTTCTTTCCCTGGACAACTGCAGAGCCCCTACCTGGTCTCTTTGCCAGCCTTGTCCTACCTACAGTGCCTTCTCTGCTGCCAGGGGACCTTTCTAAAAGACAGACTCCCTCCCATCCCTTCCCACTGGAAAACTTGCCCTACTGGATCCATTCCACATCCCGTAGCCTTCCTCTCCAGCTACCCCCTTGTCTGAATATTCTGTATGTGTATCATTATATTTGTATTCTGCATAACATGTATCCTTATTTGTATTCTGCATAACAAATTATCCCAAAATGTAGCTGCTTAAAACCACCGACATTTATTATCTCACAGTTTCTGTGGGTCAGGAATTCAGAAGTGGCAGCCCAAGGTGGCAGCATGCTGAAAGGCTAGTATTAAGGTGGAGATTCCTGGAGCACCCAATCAATTTACACTATATAAGCTCAGTGAGACTGGTGCGGGGCGGGGGGGGGGGGGTGGGGGGGGGGGGGGGGGTGGGGGGGGGGTGGGGGGGGGGGGGGGGGGGGATGCAGGGGGGGGAGGGGAGAGAGAGAGAGAAATGTACGTATGATGTAGTGCAGCAGACCCGTCTCTGGCCCTGCTCTCAGTGAACATGTGGTACCTGGTGTGAGTGGGACATGGGAATATGCATGACAGCCCTTTCTTGACCTCTTATCACACCAGCATCTTATCCCTCAAAGATATGTTTTTCTAGTTCAGTCTGGCCCTAAATGTCAGTGGTTTCCTCGGCCGTTCAACTGAGGCAAGAGAACTCTCTTCCAACCTGAAGGAAAGCTGGCTGTCTGGGGTTTCCCTGAGAAGTGATCTTGTACTTCATGGGTGTCTGACAGGACTTTCAAGGGCAATTTTCACTTCCTGTGATTTTGGCCTTACAGGAGGTCTTAGAACAAGCCCCTGCAGAAAATGAGTCTCCACTGGACCCTGAAACCAGCCATTCTGCCCTTAATCCCCTGCTTCCCTAGAGAAGTTTTTGCCCTCCTATGTGGGAAGGCTCCGCATGGAATTAGAATTGGAATTGCCCTGAAGGGAGGGTGAGAGTAAGTGATGTAAGCGGTATCCTGTCTGGCTGCAGCTTTGCTACCATTTAAAGACTCCGTGGTACTCTGCAGGCAGATCCATCACTAGTGTTTGAACTAATGCCGAACCCTGCCTGTGAGAGAAGACAAACGAGGTCCGCTGAACGAGCTGACGGCCTCGGCTGAGCCCCTCACCAGGACGCCACCGTAAGTCCACGCACAGATTTGGAAGAAACACATGATCCCTGCCCTCAGCGTTAGGTCCTAAAAGAAAGCCAGTTGCTGTGAAGCAGTGGGAAGCCCACCTGACTGGGGTTAAGGAGACTGGATTTTTAAGCTGACTCTGTCACTAACTGGCTGATTGACTTGGGGCAGGGAAGTGACTTCACCTCTCTGGTTCTTGATGTCCTCATCTGTACATTGGGATGGGACCAGCCTGCGTATCTGTGACCTGCTCAGCATTTTCTTCCATCATTTCTTTATGGGGTCTTGAACGCTTTTAAAAGAGACTCTGCTGAGACTGTATACGGATCCCCTCCTCAGGAGACGGCACAGAATACACAGACTCAAGAATTTTTCTCTAAGATTTCAGGCAGTTTATTGGGTCTCTTTATCCGTCACTTGGTCTCCAGGTTTAAGGACTCTGAGGAAAAAAGCAAAAGAACGAGGACTGCAAAAACTCAGAAACCAAAGCAAACTCTTTCCTCATTCTGCTCCTGCCTTTGCTCATCCCACCAGAGGTGACTCCCTGCCAGACTCCTCACCCTTATGTCCAGCATGAAGGAGGGCGGCATAG